CTTAGCTGTAGAGGGCAGTGTCACTGGCCCTCATATGTGGGATCCGAACCGGGGCCCTCTGGCATCCCAAGCGAGTTCTTAACCATCGCGCCACGGCCCTGTCTACCTTTCTTGATGTATCTTCCAATCCTTCCCCCATTGCACTTGTTTTAAGTTTCAGTTATATTTTTAATTTTCAAGAGGTTTTCCTTTTTCTGAGAACTTTTTTTTTCATAGCACCTGTTGTTTCATCAATATTTCTTCTCTCATCTTTGAGGATACTCATTAATTTTTTCTTTTCTCCTTGCATTGCCTGTCTCTTCTTTGCCTTTCATTTTTATCTCTTTCACTTAGAGGTTTTTCCCTAATGTGTAAAGATCCTTGAGTCTCCCCCACTAACAATGAGGCGTTGTAAAGCTATTCTGAAGAGGGCTGTTGAGACAGAGCACAAAGGTGCTGGTTTGTTGACTGTACATTTCACAATAGAAATATCAGACTGTGATCTGCCCTTTTCATGGGGAGACTCCCACATATCAGCAGGTAAGAGTTTTTTCTTGGGGCCTGTTCAGTTCGTCCAAAGAAGAACCTTCCATTCTCAGGCCTGGGTGCCAATGTCCTGGCTTGGGATGGAGAGGGAAGTAAGGGGCTTTGGTTCCAGAGTTCAGACAGCTGTTTTCAGCATGTGCTCACCTTCACCCCATCCTGAGCTGCGCCAATGTGCCCCTGCATCTGGGGTCTCTCCGGTTAAGTTTCACTGGCCACTAAACCTGCAGAAGGGTGACGGTAATCTCCTGGCTGTGAGGAAGGAGAATACTGGTGTTCCGTTGGTTTTATCCATACAGTGTTCATACTCCCAACCCATCTTCCAAAGGTGGTAACTTCTCCACCTAAAGATGTCAGTTATTTTCTTCCACTTTCCATTGTCTTCCCGCCTTGTCTTGACATTGTTCTCTGCTAGTATCTCCTCCTAGGATTTCTTTGTGGCCACTTACCTTTTTTGTTTCTTTACTGTCCTTTTAAGAGTCTGCGAAAGGCAGGCAGGTAAGTAAGTTGGTCAGCCGGCCATGTTAAGCGGGAAGCCGCATAGTGGATGTTTACAAATGCAGTTCACATCCTTCCATGCCCTGGTATGCCCTCTTTAGGTCCCCTCCCACTGTTCTGGTCATTTTCTTATACGTGACCTTAACTTTTCATACCCTTTGACCACACCTGCCAGGCCCCAAAGGCATGTGAGTCTCCCACTCTGTGCTCCATCCCATGCTCCTTCTGTCACTCAGGGGCTCCTAGGCTGCCAGGCACACCCGAAGCAAGATTCCGTGTACATGACGGTTTCTCTCTGCCTTCCAGCCCTACGGGAGGCAGATGCAGGAACGACTGAAGTGGCGTATGCTTCCATGAAGGACTCTTCCAAAAGAAATCCCATCCCAGCATTCAAAAGATCCAAAGAGTATTTTTAAGTACTTGGCAGAATTCCTTCCCCCCTAGCCACTTGGGAAGAGAATTTTTTCCTCTCTTATCTAAATTTAGTCTTCATACTGCTCAGAGCAACTTATTTCCATCTGAATGATATAATCACAAGACTTCACAGATGGTACAAAATAATGGGCCTCCACCAGCGTTTTCTACAATTTCCTAAGGACTAACTACAAAGAGAATGCAGACTTTTCAGCTGTCATAGCACAGAGGTCAACTACACAGTAAACACACTTCCGTTTCCAAATCTGTTATTTTTAATAGGTAAATATTACCTTTTATTTGAGAAATATCTTTTTTAACATGCTATATAAACTAATGAATTGTTTAGCCCTAGAAAAAAAAACAAATTTCTGGAAACAGTTGAAAAATGGACTTCTTAGGGAAGGCCATTGCTAATAACAGATTTCACAATACGCAGTTCCATCACTGTCCTTTTTCCGTCTAGGCAAAAACATTCTCTTATTTTTTTTCAGGAATGTGGACCTTAACTTGTCTGGCCACGTGTTATTTGTACAACTCCTATGGAAAAAAGAAAGTATTGTTGGGTTACTGGGTATTTACATAAATTTACCACCTCCTTTCCAAACTCCCTTGATAAAGCATAGCATTCATCTCTCTGATGAATGGCTGCTGCTAAATCCTGTCACCTTCCCAGCTTATGCAAGTTACCACGTTCCTCACTAAGACAAGCCTGGGCCTAAGACATGCCGCAACTTTCCCCTGGAAAATATTTTAAGTATTTGCTTTGGAAATAGCATACCTAAAAAAGCCAACTCTGTGTATACCCACTTGTTTACTATGTAATCTTTAGGGAGTAAGTCCTCCTCTGTCCCTTTAGAACACCTCCGGAGAAGCCTCCACCACAATCCTTACTGGAAAGGGTCCTAGAGAAAGCCCAAGGGAAGCTGTTCTTGCTGTAGCTACTGACAGCATTTCTCATCCTCTCCTTGTCTATGTTCAAACTACTCTCACAGCACTACACTTGCTCCAGCTGGCGGGGGAGATTTCCAGCACCACCGCATAATTCTCCTGTTCTCAGGACACCAAGTAGATGTCTACAAATTGAACTCAATGCTGACACTGTCTACCTGGAGATAGCGTCAGATCCCACAGGCTGAGGATTCAGTCCCACAAGACTGAGTGAATAACAAAATTCACTTATGAATAACAAAAGAAACTCCATCTTTATAGCTCTGGAGCTATTTCAGGAATTCGGAACAAAACTAAATATTATAGCAAAAGATGCCCCTGTGGCTCTTACATAGGAAATATAAGGGCTTTAGGAGCTATGTGCCAGGAGCAGTAGATGAAAACCAGTATGTATTTCTTATTATAAATCACAGTATCATATCGCCAAACTTGTTTTCATTCCCATCTTAGAGAACTGGAAAAGCATTTCACTTTTTCCTTATAAAGTTCTTCCTAGCCCCTGCACCCACAATATTTACTCTGTTCTCATGGGTCTTTCAAGTTGGTGCATAAGAAAAGGGTCAGGATGAAGAAAACATGAAATCATTAGATTACATGGGTTTCAGGAGCTAACCCTCTTCAATGTTAAGTGGAAGTTATGCTGCGTAAACAACCTGACAACTGTAACAACAGTTTCGAACCGTAATTAACTCATGGGTCTTCTTACCTCACATTTTCCCTATCTCTTGCTTTCCTTTCTTCCAAAAATTAAATCGTGCTAAGACACCCAAGTTAGTTATTGTTACAATGAATTTAGGTTCTAGATCTCAGCAGGATGTGGAATAGCATCCGCTTATTTATTTGTGCTCTCTTGAGTGCTGGGCTTATTTTATTCACTATTTTAGGTATAACGTAGTTTTAAGTTTATACTAAATATACCCTTTTTATTATGTTTTAGCCTGCAGTTGCTTTTTGCTTGTTAAAATGTGTTGTGTTCCTATTACTGTGGTTGATGAATTTTTTTTTTTCCTTTCTAGTTATGAAAAACCTCCTCCTGGGCTTATCAAGGTCAGTGTGAAGTTTGTCCTTTTGGGAGTTCTCTTAGACACATTCAACTCAGTGTTCAGACTCGGTAACTTGGTATGAAAACAGCTGCTTGAGGTTTTGAGCCTCCTGTTATGATAACCCATTTCTTCCCTCAGATGCCATTCATACACTTTGGGCTTTGTCACAAGCCTGTGCCTTTGTAGAAACTTAATCAGCTGTGACTGTTCCCTAAGAAACCGCGGCAGGCCCACGTGTGTGTGCTCCTCCACGATCACTCCCTTCTCTCTCACTTGAGACAGCATCTTCTCAAAGCTCTGCTGCCCTGGGCTGACTCTCACGCCCCTGGTGCCGGTTCCTCGAATGTCATCAGCTCAGAGAGAGCAGACTGGGGGCCTGAAGCTCCCCCAGCCCGCCTGCCCTGTGCAAGCCCCGCCTTCAGCACCCTGGCCAGCGTCAGTGTCCCCCTGCGGGAGTGAGACTTAGAGGGGCCGTTCAAGGCCAAAGCCTCCTTTTCTGTTTGGTACCTTTCAGTTTAAAACAAAGATTTGAAACAAATTNAAAATGCATTGCTTTGGAGCCTGGCCTGCCCTTTTCATGGTGGCCCGTGAGCTGAATGTCACCTCAGCAGGGCGGTGGTTGCAGGATACAGGTCTGGCATTGCTGGCATCTACAGTCTAGGCCCCTTCAGGGCCCTCTCCATCTGCTCTGTAAGGCAGATATTCAAAACTCTTTCCCAGTGCAAAAGCTCAGCCCAGCCTCAGTATCTGTAAGTGTAGGATGCCAGACAGTGGTTAATAAATTTATTTTGTAACTCACAGACATCAGAGACATCATAACCTCCTTTTGCAGATGAGGAAATGCAGGTTCAGCAGTTGAGTAACCTAATCAAGGAAACACTGACCTGCAAACTAGCAACAGTAAAAGGGAACCCAGGTGTCTGATTCCCAGACCGTGGGATTTTTCAGTTTCAGAAATTTAAAACTTCCTGGCTGTTGATATATTTGGTTTGGCTACTTCAGAAGCTTGTTTACTTTTAAATAAAAATTTGTATTTCCAGAGTCACGTAGTTTAAACATCCAATACTACTGCTGAAAGACTAATTTCAAAACACCAGTGGTTTGCATGCCTACTCTTCGGCCACCCCACACTCCTGTAGTCCTCCCTCTAGCCAAGGCTTCAGTGAGGAAACTTTCTAATTTTTTCTACTGGAATTTAAATACTTATTTCTAAATTATATGCTTATACTTCTTTTGATTGAACAACAGACATTACCTAGTAACTTCATGTCATAGAAAATGGGGCTTTAGTTCTCTTTGTCTACCTTTCTTTTTTTTTTT